TACAAAATGTTGGGTTCATGAATCGTATGGGGTGGTTGATAGATTTCTCATTTTCTCAACAATCTGAATAAAGAAGAAAAGAAAAAGGAAAGATGGGAACTTATTACTAGATTCTGACCGAAACAAACCTTACTTCTATAAATAGCTAGCTCTCACTGAGAACTGAGAAGACCTTCATTTTTTTTTTTTTTTCTTTTCCTCTTCTCTCAACCCACCACCCTGCTTTCTCCCTAGCTTAGTTGTTGTTGCATTTTGCTTTAATAATTCAATTCTTTTCCTCTTCTTTCTTTCTTTCTTGTTCATCACCATGCAGGAGGAGAAGGGGTCGCCCACCTCCTCCACGTCAAGCAACCACGAGGTGATTTCAGATAATTCAGAGAAGAAGAATGATCAGAATGGTGATCAAGTGTGTTGGAAGGAGCAAGAGCAAGAGCAAGGTGATGAAGAGGGGCCAGTGGTGAAGTGGCTAAAGTGTCCCTACTGCCCGAAAATGTTTCCGAATGCACAGGCTCTGGGGGGGCATCAGAACGCACATCGAGGGCTACGACATGAGGCGAAGAGGGGGAACCACGCCCTCTCGCGGAGCAGAAGGAGGATGTCCGCCCGCATTCGTGCCTCACTTAATTTCGACCCACAGACACAGAAGAGTGTTGTACGTGCTGCGTGTGGGTCAGCAACAGCAAGCCAGGAGGGTGCGCCCCAGCTCAAACCAGGATTCACTACGTATGGACCTCCAACAACTATGGTCCAACCAAGGTTCGGCTCTGAACCTGGATATGGGTCGGTACCAGCAGCAGGGATTAATGGACATGGTGCTCTATGCTACAGACCCTCTAACATTGAGTCTGGGCTCGCACATGGACATGGTTTCATGGCTGCTGCTGCGGCTGAGACTCAAAAGCTACCTGCTGCGCTGGGTAATGAGGCCATGCACGAGACTGCTGGGATAGGTCGGGGTTCTGGTGCTGCTTCTGATCATCAACCCCAGATATCTGGAGGGGGAAGTTATTATTATTATCATTCTTATAATCCAATGTTGCCGATTGGGGGGAGAAGCTACTATGATGATCCCCATCATCAGGTTCCCATTGTGGACAATGACCCTACTCCGTGTGAGTTGAATCTGCTAAGACCTCGGGAGGTTAGCCTAGCAATGTCTCAAAATGGTCGCCTCTTGGGGTCTTGGGACGAGGAAGCTGAAGCCAAGTCCAAAGGGTTGGACCTGAAATTGAGTCTCTGAAAACAATCTCTCTTTCTATCTCTTGTTTGCTCTTGTTTGGGTTCCTGTGGTTGTAACTGTGTTTTCTGTAATGTTTAAACATGCCAATAATATGACAGAGAATTTCTATATATGTGATATTGAAAGCTTCTTTTCAATTGATTTTTAACATATTCATGAAAGGACTAAATGCTTGGCCATGTTTAGTTACTGGTTCGATCTCCTTAATAATTGTATTTTGTTCATGATACTAGACTGACAAAGTTAGAACTGCAAGAAAATTAAGTTGCAGCATGAAATCAATACTTGATAATTTGATTAACCTTTGTGCATGCAGTCCAACTAAGACCTGTTAAGCTCTGGTAACATCTGGGCCCGGGTAATTGAGAAAATAGGGCCGATTTTTTAATTTTTTTTTTGGTGTTGTTAATTAGTTTTCAATTGGGAACTCCCATTAGCATGAAATTACTGCTTAAATTGCTATGTATATTTTGCAAGCTCCATGGCCTGAAAATAATATGCTTAAATTAATTGAGACCATGAAAATTGAAACGGTAAAATGGCAGAAAGGACTAAATTAAAAGTAGTAAAGGCCAAATTGGACTTATTCTATATTCAAAATAATGTCTATTGGAGAACAGTGATGTTCTTTATATATATAAGGTTAAAAAAGAACTTGAAGGTCTTGCCAAGAGGAATCATCATCATCTAAACCTTGTCTCAACCAAATGAGGTTGGTTACATCATTAATCCTGTTTTGCCATTCATATTAAATTATGGGTTTTTAAATTATTTTTAACTATTTTCATACAAGTCCTTTTTGTTCTGCACCTGATTCTTTTAATCCCTTCAACTTATAACAGATCATTTCTTTTGACGAGTGTTGTAGATGATCTTCTATGCATGTGACTAAACCATCTCAGTCTAATTTCTTTCAAATATTTATATATTAACTAAAACCTGACAATATGTACTCCAATACAATGTTTTAAGGTTACAACCTTGTTAGCCAATTAATGCCAACTGCATGCATTTTTTTTTGGCCGATTTGGTCAAACTACAAGTCATTCAAAAAATTATTAACTTCCTTAGCCATTAGCATTTAAGGATCTTGTTACCACCACCGACAAATTTCAAAATCTTAACAAAACATAACCAACTTCATAAAACTCAATTCTAATGACAAATACAGAGATATTGCATGAGACATGTCAAGAAAGCCATAGGCAAGGTTCTAAATATCGACACGGGCCAATATGCCTACTGTGTCAGTACATTTTTTTTAGTTTTTTTTTAAACTGGTTCAGAGGGGTCGGTTTAAGGCCTGGCTACCTTTTGAACCAGTGGCTGACCCAATACAACCCCTGGAGGGACGTATCGTTAAACCATCGGCATAATATATTGGCCAATACGGGTCGATACGTATCGATACTTTGAACCTTGGCCATAGGTAGTGAGTGTTCCATCTAGTTTCAGGCCTAAGTAAAGAAAGTGGATTAACAAAACGAAATAAACTTCATGCTTACTACTAGGTGATTAAAGCAACTGCTTAAATGACTGTTTGCTCTAAGGAAGGGAATTATGTTGATTATGCATAATAAGTTATTAGGTCTTGGGTGTTGATTTGTGTTTTAATTATATACTAATTCGGTTATTTTAGATTGTATTTTTGGTAATTTGTATTTTGTTATATATCATTCATTTAATTGTTCCTTTTTTGTTGTTATAATACATGACTTTTTTGATGATTGAGTAGATCGTGTTAATTATTAGACCTGAGTAGTGAAGACTTCTGCAAATCATTTCTATCCACTTGAAAGCCTGAGAGCTTGTACTCAATGTTTATGTGGAATTTGTAATATATTTTTTTTTTCCTTTTACCTTCTATAAGATCCTTGTATTTTTATTATATAAATGAGGCAAAACAGGTGCTTCTTGTGTCATAGGTTGTTTTGTCTCGGCTTCCATCGATCTTTTCTTTTAGTATTTTGTAACTTCTTGATGTTATAGTTTATGCTCATTTAGTTTCTTGTGTTTGTGTATATTATTCATTTGTAGACTTTTGTCAATGCTATATAATGTGGTTTATTTGATTTTTATGGTGTTAATTTGCTATATGTTAACATGTTGATGAAAATGTTCTTATGGTTCTATATATTTGAGTTTTTGGTATATATCTTCTCTTCTTAGGCTTGTTTTTATGGTTGTCTGAGTTTTGGTTATCTGATGATTTGAGTGAATTTGTGGGTTTCTACCATCATAGTTCAATTGCTTATGTATAGAAATTGCTAATTGTTTCATAGTTGTGTCTTTATTTGGTTCCATGTATAAAAAAAATGGAAGGACCTTTTTTTAATGTTCAATTTCATATAGAAGAACATGGAAAATAAATTATTTCTATTCCTCTTCATTTCTAGTAGGTCTTATTGTTATCCATGCCTTTGATATTCTTCATTTGGTCTAATTGTAATCTAATTTTTTCTTGAACTGTGCCAACCACCATGAAATATGGTTATTCTCACCTTTTTCACCATTACCGGCAGACAAGACTGCCCGCATAGGACAAATTTGTACTGTCGGTATTGTACCTTTTTTGGTATACTGGTGTACAACCGCCGGCATAAGCCGGCGGTCCCAGCGATTTTTGACACAACCCTTAAAAAATCGATTAACTTTTTGTGATATATACATAACCCCATGATTACATACTTGTTCTTCTATAATTCTATAAATGCATTAAGAGTTTGTTTCAATCTTCACCTTTCAAAAAGTCATTCTCAAGTTATAAAACAAGACATATTCTACCACCAAACTTCTCCCTTTGACATGTTTGGTAATTGCTAATATAAACCTACAATTTGAATTACTAGGCTTTTTTATACTTCATCTCAATCAAATTAAAATTTATTTCTTCATTTTCAGAAAACTAAGTTCTTAAAGAAAACTACACTTAATATGAAACCATTTCTAACTAAAGAACCATTAAAGGTGAATAAAGAAAATGGAATCAGAATCTCTTGTAAATAAGTTGTCTCTCTAGCTTCTAAACTCTATAAACAATAGAAGATTTCAAATGAACAATAGTTTTTAATTAAAGAAACTTTTTCAAGTTCAAATTCTGAGTTGCTTAAGCATTATGCAAATGATCTTACCATTCTCTAGGAAGGTCTTACAGATTTTTTTTTTCGTTTCTACTTTCCTTCCTAGTTTTTATTCATTTATTTTTGTTCTTTCTTCTTACTTTTGTTTGGAGATTTTACCACAATTCAATCGATTATTCCCAAAATACAATATTAATAATGTAAATCTGTAGGCAATGACTATGCACTTACTTTTTATCATTTTCAATATTATCGTCTTATATCAACAGCTATGAAGACTAATTGACCACCATAGGGATGTTGATGCAAGGCAAAACTTCAGATAAAGCAACAATATATGTGTGCCAAACTGCCAATCAGTACCCTGCGATGAATCAAAACATTATCAGGCTCACCATTTTCTCATGGAATTTCTCCGACAAATTTCTGGCATTGAAGCCAAACCATGAAGATGTTGCTCTAACGTGTCCAAAAGCAATTTTAAACAAAATATCTCCAGTAAAATTTCCTTCAAAAAATGAATTCAATTCGAGGAAGATGGTTTGTTAATTTGTAAGGTTCTCACTTTTCAGTGGCAGCCAAATTAGTGATTTCTTTATTTTAGATTTTTCGTTTGCTTTCTTTGATTTTCTTCGCAACCAAACACAGCTACTGTTCTGGTACCAAGTTCTATAGAAGGATGAGAGCGAAAGAATCACCTTAAAAATAGAGCCGCCCAACATTACAAAAATAGCTGGAGAGATGTATTAAAACGGAATAACCACAATTTGCAATCAGAGAAACTTTCTAGTTTTTCCCTTTTCTTTTTCTCTTTTTCTCTTTTTCTTCTTCACTTACACATGGTACTGAAACAATCTTTTATTTTAATCTTGTCGGAGCTGTTGAATCATTCAAAGATGTATGCTCATCATTCTCCACTCCATAGGATTTTTTCAGCTTTGCCACCATAACCCACATGTTTGCAAGTTCATTTTCGAGATAAGCTTCTCTTTGTTTGGACTCCTCTACCTTCTTCTGAAGCTCTGCCTCTTTTCGATCCTTTTCCATTAGAGCAGCTTCATATGACAATTCTCTCTCTCGACTCATGGCAAGTTCTCTCTTGATGTCAGCGGTTGATCCCCCTTGATCATGTCTCTTGATATGCACATTCCTTTTTCCATTTTGAGCCGCGCCAGTGGATTTCCGCTGGGCAGGGGAATTTTTCAGTGCAGTCAAGTCAGCAGTTAGTCTTTCATTATGGTTCATGAGCTTGGCAACTTCTTCTGTTAACGCCTTTAGCTCCACGGCTGCAGCAGATGCCAACCCTTTGGCATAGGAGCTCTCTTCTGCCAGCTTCTGGTTTCTGATTTCAAGTTGTTCCTTCGTTTCTGTTAATTCAGCCACTTTCTTCTTCAGTTCTTCAGCTTCGTTTGCCTAATTGAGAAAAGAGAAAGCACTAACAATGTTAACAGGAAATGCTGTTTCACCTGCAAACTAGATATCTTTAGTACAATATCTATCAACTTGATGCATCAAATAAAAAAAAAATAAGAAAAAAGAAAAATATCATAACAAAGGCACTTCCTTCTGCAACTCAAAAAGAAAAAAAGGTCATTATGTACCCCTCTCACTCTATACTAAATATCTCCCTAAGATGGATACCGCCTTTCAGTGATTTGGCTCAAAGTAAAACTAAGCTTATGCGCAGTAACAGGTAAAATTCACTATGGTATGGTGGTTGTGTATGTTAAGAGAGTAATGGGCTATGAAACAGTAAAATGCATAATCTTGTGTATTATGAAGGTTTAGGTGTGGTTAACTATCTTTGGTCTTTCAGTATCTTGAGTTGACATACCTTTGGTCTTTCAGTATCTTCAGAGTTACATGAATGGTTAACTAAAACTAATACAGCTCCAGGGTTCACGTCAATATCAAAATATAGTTCGAGTGCATTAAATTCTGTAGTTACATACTTCTAATCTAGAGGATTTTAATATGCTTTTTTATTTGGCTGAGTTGTGCAATGTCAGTTGTACAAAAACTATAAATGCAAAAGAGGGCAGATCACCTAGATGCAACATGATTTGAGATTGAAAATCAACATTTAAGTTTTTTCCTGGACTCCTCTTCCTTCACATTTTAGTGACTAAACATTATGTATACATGTAATGACCTGTAGTTCTGTAATCTTTGCAGTTATCTCCATTTGTTTCTAACCTCACACTCATCATCAATTGCAGGTTGGTACATTTTTTACATTTGGAATTCGCATAGTACTAACATCCTCGGTAATATAATAGGGTAGTGGGACATCTATCATATTAATTTTTCAACATCAATGCATACCATAGCATAGACATCAATGGCAGAAAAAGAAACGACAGTTAATATTTTTTAAGGGGCGAGGGGGGTAAGAACACAGTAGGACGAACTTTCAAGTTCCATTCCATGTGTGATAGATAAGGACCAACTGGTTTCCAATTGGAATAGCATATTTTCCTGACCTAAAATACAGAATTAGCTATTGAGTGTGTTTTACAACTGCAATAAAATATATTTTCATAACCAAAAATACAGAATTACCTTTTAAATATGATTATAGGAACTAACCATGATGGAGCATAATTTTCAAGGTGCCAAGGCAAAGCTAAGTGACAGGGTGGCACCTTGTTGCATAGCTGCCTAGGTGTTGCCTTGCCGATGAGTTTTTTAAAATTAAAAATATAAGTCCTAAGGTAGTTTCCTAGGTTTCATAGCTACTAGTAGTTATCTTTAACTAGCAATTGCCAAATAATCCTCATGAAAGAAGGAGTGGAAATAAAATATTAAAAAAAATCTTTGGAAAATAAAATGGAGAAGGGGTGGAGTCCTTAATTTTGTGCTTGAAAAAAGAAGAAAAGAAAATAGTGGAAAAAGTAGAAGATTGCCTTGGTTGTTCAGGTGTTTTTATTGGATAAAATCTTCAAGTTATTCCTTACCAAATGGTTCAGGTTTTGAAGTCTTGAAAAGGTTCAAGACAACGTCCACCAACTTGTGTGTTGATTGAACCAAAACAAACAAGAAAAATAATAAAAAGAAACTAGTAATACAAATTATAAAAAAAAAACATATATCATAAACCCACAAAATTAATAATTGAGTTTAATAATGCCTATTGTAATTTTTTAATATCATAAAATAAAAATATTATGTGACCCCTTGCAAAAAGGCATGTAAGCGTTTGGGCAAGGCAACCCTCCAAGGGCACCTTGTCACCTAGGCACTGCCTTGACAACTATGAGGTGGAGATTTGGTTACAAATCCAGATCATTATAACCTCTGTATGAAAATTGCATGGAAATGATATAGTTTGGCTTCAAATAGCTAAGACTAAAAACCAATAATCAGATTATATAACTAAAACCTGTGACTGTAGCAGCAAGTCTTCTTTAGCATCTCTCAAAACTGCATTTATTTTTTTTAGACCAAATTCTTCTTGGAAGCTTCTCCCTTCAGCATAATGTTGTGAATGTGCTGTCACTGGACTGGAATTCCTTGGCTCCAATGCTTCAGACAGCTGTTGTCTCAAGGAAGCAATTGTTTCCTGTAATCCTTCACACTCACAGATCTGAAAGAAAAGGATATGTGATAGCAAAATCAGTTAGTACTGCCAAGCTTTCTCATGACCAGGGATACATCTCCAAAGTATCATCAATATTTTAGGCAACAGTGATAAATTTTGCCAATTTTTTGAATATTTAGGAGATGTTGCCAAAATTAAATCTTCACGAGAGAAGTGACTTTAACTAAGAAAGAAACCCTTTGTCTATTTATTATTTGGAAATATTTGAAATTGTATTATAGGGACCATTACTTGGTGCAATGATAAAATCTTGGGCCGGAAAGCATAGGTGGTGACTCCCTAAGAGCTTAAGTGCTAGCCCTCTTACAAGGGCTGAGTTGGCAAATACAATTGCACCTTCAACAAATTAAAGAGGAAGGAGACTCCAAATTGATTATAGGGTGGCTTCAAACAGGCAGCTTAGGGATTTGGACCCGCAGGAAAACTATGAAGGAAATTAGATGTCTTTCAAGGGAATTGAGTGTTTCCACTAGTTGGGTGAGAAGATCTGCAAATAGTTTGGTGGATACTTTAGCCAAACAAAGCACAGGGGTAAACTCTTTTTGGGCTGAATTGTAAATTAGAAGTCTTTTGGGGGTCAGTTTCCTTACTCTTGGGAACTGGACCAATGTACTAATTCTTCTTATCTTAATTGATGAAAATTACCATTTCCAATAAAAAAAAATGCAGGTTCAAGACTGAGGGCGGCTACTTTATCTAAAAAAAGGACAAAGATTAGGAGTATATCTAGTCTACCCCACCCATGACCCAGATAGCTAGGACCAACATTGGGTAATGGCCTTTTCTATTCTAAACCAAAACGGACAATTTCCTTGATTCCCAGTGAAAGATAACACAAAGACTTGTAAAAAAGTTTGCATCCAAAATCAATTAGGCATTAATTTAACAATGGTTTGTTCATCTATTTTTATTTTTTGTGTTTCTTGCCAAATACTGTATTCTCCTCATATATTTTCTTGCCAAATACAGTATTTTCCTCAAATATTGTATTTCTTCTTCAATACCACTGATTATTACTGACTTACATTTCCAATTCCCTCTTCCCTGGCATGACATACCCATTGATAATGGAATTCTAATCCTTGGGAATGATTTTTCTTTTTCTTTTTTTTTTTTGAACCAAGAAAACTCTGGATGCGCTTTTTTTTTTTATCAGCAAGATCTAGATGCACTATTTCTAATGGTTTTAGTACCTTCTGATTAAGCTGCTCTTGAATTATCCTGTTATCTGCAACCTTCACCTGAAATAAACAGTGCAGTAAAGTTCTTCAAATGTCACAGATTCTTGAAAGAAGAATGACAAATACTCAAGGCTACAGAACATAGAACACACAACATAGATAGGGATAGAAAAATATGTAAAGAAGGAAAATTAATTTGTTCAACTTGTAGTTTGAATGTTTACAATGCCATATTCACAGTTTGATAGAATTCAAATCAAAGTCACCTCAAGTTCAAAGGACTTCTCATTCAATTGAGCCACCACTTCAGCAAAAGACTGCAGCATAAAATGATAACCAGCTGAACAATAAGTTCATTATCACATATAAACAGTCTACTTGACTTAGGAGTTCACTATCTTTTACCTGTGACAGCTCCAAGGTGTCCATCTTGTTTTGAGATGCCATGATGGAAACAGCTATCTGCTTTTCAAGGGAAGCTATTTGTTGGTTCTTCACCTTGATTTCATCATTTAGCTTTTGCATATCCACCTTAAATTCAAAAGACCATCAAATGTGCTTTCCATGCAAATCAACATGACAAAGCCATGCAGAAAGATAAAAATTAGAAAAAAATGAGGTTATTACATGGATCTGTTCCTTCTTAGGGTTGTTAGAAGCCTCTTCTGATAAGCGTTTTAAGGCACTTTGGTGAAGTGCCACCTCTCCAGACAAGATCTTTTGTTGTTCTCTTAATAGATCAATCTGGTCCATTGTTTTTATGCTGGTCTGACATCAAATAAGAAAAAAAATTAAATAAAATTTACAGAGTAGTAGGATAACATTCACATAAATCTTATGGCTAACTTGTAAGTTGTAACCTATAAGCACCACTAGCTTCAAAAGACAGCAACATTACAGGAACACACCAAAATAGTGCTGCAAATGAAATTCATTGGAAGGGGGAAATTTCAGTGATCTAGAAACTTGAGACCTAAACTGGCCTTAGAATTTTTGTACATAATCCATCACACTACTCAGCAAAACCTTGTAACACATATGAGTCAATGGCAACTATAAAAAATTATGAGAAAAGAACATGTGATTCAAAAAGAAATATAATTAGATTATCTGCCATCTACCAACACCAAATACAGAGTTTATTAAGTTTAAAGCATAATATCAAGTTGATTCAATGATTTTATTGCACAGGAAGGTCTCCTATGAAAACACTTTAGTACAATGGAGATAAGAGAATAGATGAAACCAGGGTTTCTTGGCAAAAAAGAAAGAAAAAAAAAAGAAAAGAAGAAAAATAGAAAAGAAATGTTTGATCCAAAGTGACTAATTCCAATTGTTTGTTAACGTAAATGAAATTATGAAGCCAACTAAAACACCCATAGAGAAACAAAAGTACATAGTTAGGGCATCCAACACCCTTTCTGCAATAGAACTTCAAAATCTAAGTAGCAATATACAAAATTACTATGAAATATTGCCAAACCAAAACGCATTTCTACCAGTATATGCACTGTAAAGAGACTGGGACGAATGGGCCCTAACAGCCTTTCATGTGCTATCCTTTATTTTATCTTTTATTTTATGTTGATGGGCCTCACTTAATGGGCCTGTTATTTGTTCTTATTTTATTTTCTTTATGTAACTACCAAGCTGGCCGTTCACTTAAGGGTATACTTGTCATCATCAATTTTTTAGAGATTAATAAAATAGGGTTAGAGGAGAAGGGTGATTAATTCGACTTCTTCTTCTCTTA